ACAAGAGGCTGATTAGCTTAGAAGGATTTTAATGTTGTTGGATCTTCTGATCGTGAAGCTTCTAGTGTATATCTAAGCAACATAATCATCAATAAGTGAAATATTAGAATTTCCCTAAAAGTGACTAGCAGTTTTTTCAGCATTGAATTTCATTGATAACAACAAGTAAAATCTCAAGTCGGTCGAAACTATTAGTCATTGTTAGAGAGATGAGTTGAATAGTTCATTTCAATTTTGAATATCATTTGAAGAATACCTTAGATCTATCAGAATAACAGCTTTCTTTTATTTCAACATTAACAAGCTTTATTCCTAAAAAAACTGAATTTGCAATAAGCAGTATCATTGAATACTGAAATATAACGATATTCTTAACAAGATACAATTGTCTATTTATAAACTAAGTCACTTATCTAATCTCTTTTATTCCCACTTTGTTTATTCTTATTTTTTAACTCATACAGAAGCTCGCCTATGTTGGAAACTCGGTTCTATCTAAACGTTCTCGAGTCACTGACTGGTTGAAAATTGAATGCTAACACCAAATACGAACACTGAAGCAGTTTTTCTGAAACCACGTGCACCATTCAAACTTGCTGCCTTCAACGTTCGCACACTAATACAAATCGGAAAACAGATAGAGTTAACTACGTCTTTATAAAGTCTGAATATCGACATATTAGTACTAACCGGAGACTTGAATGCTCAGGTCGGGCGTCTAGGCACAGAAGAGAATCGTTTAAGTGGCCGATGGGGACTTGTTGATTGCAGGTCAGATAACGGAGACCGTCTACTGCAACTGTACACAAACCATAACCTGTTTCTGGTGATCACTGACTCCTGGCACAATCATCGCCGACTTGCCACCTGGTGCCCTCCCTCTGCATCTCAAGTCTGGACTCAGATTGATCACATCGCGATCAGCTACCGCTGGTGTGGTTGTGTACAAGACTGCCACTACTTTTGGAGTACCTATCTGAACCCTGAAAATGTCCTTGTTTGCGCTAATCTTAACTTACTCTTCAGTGGCCAACAAATTCATCATCTTAAACGGATTAATGTCAGTAAATTGGTTGCAACTTCTGTTTGCAACTTCATGACCCCATCAAAATAGCGAGTAAAGCCGCTTGCGGCTTCGCGAAACGTCCCGCTTTTAAACACTGGGTTTCTTCAGGCTTCTTACAACTCATCGAAGCCCGTCGGCCTACTCTGGGTGACCGTGAGCTTGACCACAAACGAAGGCTGTTAAACAATGAAATTGAGCAAAGCATGCATAAGGACCGAGAAGCTTGGTAATCGGAGCGTTCTAATAGGCTGGAAGCACCAGCTGCATCTGGTAACTGCCGGAAGCTCTTCCAACTCATCCGAGCCACTGGGAGCAAGTTCATTGTGAGTGGAACAACCTGTGAGGATGACGGTGTGCCAATCACTAACATTTATCAGCATCCTGGATGATGGGCAGTTCATGTGGTATGCTGCTCCGTAAACATCGATCAGACTGTCCTGCTCTCCATGGCCGGTGATGACGACTGATCCATTAAATGAAACGGAAGTCCTCAAGGAACTCCAACTCTTGAAGAGCTATAAATCACCAGGCCTAGATGACTTACCTCCGACCCTTTTTAAAGATGGTGATGACTTTCTGACTAAGGAACTGACGACGTTGTTTACAAAGGTCTAGGGTACTAGAGAGTGTTCCAACGTCATGGAATGAGTCGATAGTTGTCCCTATCTTTAAAAAGGGTTCACGTCGTTTCTGTAACAACTCTCGGGTGATAAGTCTACTTCCGATTACGTCCAAACTATTGGCTTCTGTCATACTTTGTAGGTTTTTCAAAACCCGAGAAAGATTAACTCGCGAGGAGCAGACTGGTTTTCGTTCTGGTCGAGGATGTATCGATCATAACTTCACCCTCTGTCAAATGTTAGAACACCGTCATACTTATCACAGGCCAACAATCGTAGTGTTTCTTGACATCAGAGCTGCCTTCGATTCGTTGGACAGGATTGTTCTCAGGGATTGTCTATTGAAGAAGGGTGTGTCTGAGAAGTTTATTAACATCCTAAAAGCCCTATATACAAACACCTCGGGCAGAGTGAGGGCATACAACTGTTGGAGTGATCCAGAAAATTTCTCCCAAAAGACAAGCAAGGATCAGGAAACACTAAGAAGCGTCTCATCCGATCGGCGTTCACTTGAAGTTTTAGCCAAAAATATCAAGGAAGTGAAACGTCACATGTAGATGTTCTGATTGGCTGATTGCTATACTGCTACTATGTTTAGTAGCATTGCAGAATCTTCGAGCAACCCAAGGACATTTAAAAATAATATAAAAACCCTATATTTTCTGTGTTAAAATGAACCTTGGAGTAAAGTACGCCTCGCATATTTTGCGTCTTCTCTCTCGTTGTTCAGGTCGCTGTATAGTTCTAGCTTGGGGGTGACAGAATAGCTTAGGAAGCGGATATAGCTTTCAATTTGCAAGACTTATCAACAACCACCTCTCTCCATTGTTCTATTCAATCAGTGGGGTTAGACAGGGTTGCCCAATCTCACCACTCCTCTTCAACTTCACCATCGATGACATTCTGGAAACAGCTCTGAAAGACGTAAGTAATGGCGATGTGGACCTGCTGCCTGGAGAAATGCTTCTCAACCTTGAGTATGCGGATGATACTGTCTTACTGTGCGATAATGCCCAAACCATGCAACCCACACTTAATCACTTGGCAATCAGTGTCCGTAGGTACGGTATGTGCTTTGCACCTTCCAAGTGCAAATTACTTCTACAAGACCGGCAGGATTCTAATCCTATACTCACCCTGGGTGGTGAGCAGATTGAAGTAGTCGAGAAGTTCGTGTATCTAGGTGGTAGCTGCATAAGTGCTGATGGTGGCGTGAGTGATGAGATCGATGCACGTATAGTGAAAGTCGAAGGGGCTTATGCAAATCTGGGACATCTTTGGCGCCTTCGTGATGTCAGTCTGGCAGTAAAAGTTCGGATCTAGAACGCGTCGATGAGAGCAGGTCTTCTCTACGTTTGTGAAACATGGTCTCTTCGAGTTGAGGATGTTAGACGACTCTCTGTGTTTGATCACCGCTGTTTCCGAAAGATTGCTGACATCCAGTGGGAACACCATGTTTGTAATGCAGAGGTTTGGCATCGTGTGCTCGGGCACAGAGACGATAATCCAATGGGTGTCACCATCTTGAAACATGTTCTACGAATGTCCTCGCAGAGAAGTCCACGTCGTGCATTAGCTGCCGATTCTGGGACTGGTTGGAAGAAGCGGAGAGGTGGTTATTATATGACATGGTGTCGTGGTATGCAAGAAAGCTGCAAAGGGTTGGCTTGTGTAGGTCTTTCTAGACTCCCTGGTTGGAGTCCTAGAGATGGTGCAACAGTGGCTAGAGACGTTATCAGATATGGCTCAGAATAGAAGCCAGTGGCGATCCTGATGTAACCTTTTACATTTCTCATAAAAAGTGGTTGTATCTTGTTATAACTCTGTTCTTTCTTCTTACTCACGGTTGATGACCCAGCTATTCCTACTGCTTAGTATTCTCGGACACCGATTCACTCGACAAGTCCCCAAATCAGAACACGGTTGAACAGGAAAAAGATTATATTCGAAATAGCAAATCAGAAGCACAATAGGGGAAAACGTCGGTATATTTATAGTTTTTACATAAGAAGATTCCAGAATATTCTCCGACTATCGACTAGTGCTGATTGGATAAGAATCAGCCAATCAGCGTACACAAAAACAATCATGCATTGAGCATGCTTTAATCTAGTCTATGTCCCGCTAACATATCTTAACTGAAAGATTTCTGGTTGTACCTTTCCGTTTCCCTTATTATTATTACACTACCTTACACTAATCTGTGTTCGTTATTGTTCCCCACCTTCTCATATGCACCTTACACTCTTTTTGTCTTCACATTCTCATTGTTATTGTGTGGCAGATATGTATCTGGTGCCCCTCTCTACCAATATTTAATTGTTCAAATAAATAAATAATGCTTTACCAAATTGAAATTAACAACTGTTTTTTTTTCTTTTTTTAAGCTGAACTGTTTACTTTTACAGTATATTCGAGAATCTACGATTCTAGGTAAATTTTTTATACTGAGATATGTGTGAGTTCGACGATATAAACAACCTGTTAGGACATTAAAATACATAACGATACGAACATTTATTGACAAAAAAGATAAATTCGCTTAACTTTAACATCATAGCAAATTAGATGAGTCACTGAGTTATATGACAATCTTGTTTTTAGACTAAAAAAAACAGTTCATTCGTAAACTCAATTGAACTCAGTACCAATATCAGGGCGTTATGGCAAACACGTTATTCATTAATTACAGGCACACTTCCAAAAACCAGTTATATAAAACTGTACTCAGTGTAAAATGTAAACCTTGCCCATTTAAGAAACATGGGATATATATATGACGAATATATGAGTTTATACTTTAACAGTTGTATTTCGGTAGTAGAATATATTGAACTCAATGCAAAAAATAAGATAATGATAAAAAGAACAACGATGACAATAAGCTAGTGTTACAATGACAAAACATAAATTATATATATGTAGACGTGGAGTGCCTCCTACAATTACGATACGGCGGGAGAAATAAACTAATACTTGTACACAATAGCTTGTCTATATGACTAAATGAAATAATCAGAAAAGAAAACAATACGTGTAACTATCAAATAGATCTAATCAGTTAATTATTTCTATTTTTGCAATAGTCAAGTAAAAACTTGAATGGGAGGCGGATGACAGGAAGACAGCGTACAGTTTAATAATACATCAGGCAATATCTGAGTGGTATTCCATGTCAGCATATCACAATACAGCTTCGTCTATATCAATATATGAGATGTTGAGCTTGTTATGGTATATATAATATATATGATACACCACCATGGTGTGAGCGTGCATAAATCTATACACACAAAATGGTGATGATTTCTTCTTTAGAATATCAGATCCAATACTTGGTTTTTAAACGTCTCCACAGGACAGTAAGGACATTTCATTCGACTGTTAAGTAAAGAAAATTTTTTAATAGTAGCTATAAAACTAATAACAGAAAGCATTTAGTATTACAAGTAAGAATAGCTACCTAGAAAAATAAACATCAATAAAATTTCTAGATAACATATAGTACCATATCGATATTGAAAGCACTAGTAGAAAGTTAAGATATCAAATATTAAGATGATTCAGTGTATAAAATGGACTATCATTTTTGAATTCTAGTGATAATAAAAAATTAAAATGTAGTTACATTTTCTGAAGGAGTATTAAAAGTCCCAAAGTAGAATCTGTCTGAGTAACAGCTACAACAAGAAAAACTTATATGTAATAACTATAGTTAATTTGCTTAATAAAAAAAGATGGTTAGTAGACTAAGGGATGTTGAAGACAACTGAAAATGTTAGTTCGTATATAAAGAAAGTGTTCATTGACACCAACTTAAAGGTTACGTTGTTTGGTGCTTGGGACATCGTATGTTTTCTTGACAAATTTAAAAACATGTGCCCGTATTTATCGGCTCAGAAAAACAGTTTCTCGATTCAGCTCATATGCCGAAATAGCAAAAATATCAAGGCATTTGATACATTGAATCAATTAGAACTTGGACAACTGATATGTATATATACGCCGACTCGGTTGATCAATAAACTCCTCACTCTTAGTTTTTCCACTCGAGGTGACGATGCTCGTGTATAACAAAAGAAAGACTACATGACAGTATTTTAGAAGAATAAAAGGATCTTTAATTAATCTCGCAAACGTTACAGATGAAGAGGCTGAACTCAAACAACACATTTAAAGCATGGACTTAACAGCCAGAAGAGTGATTTAGAAAAGTTTTTGGTGTGAGAAGGCTGTATTTAAGTGTATTTCACAGCCTGATAAATAGTGAGGGTCAGTAAGATAGACCGAGCTTTACATTCCTTAAACTTTAGACAAACATGTAAAGTCTACAAATCTAATAATGTAATTGAGGTAGCGATAATACAATTACGGGAAACAGTCAGTTCCCAGCACACTTGCGGTAGAAAGCAATAGCACACTCGTCACTAGGTATACAATGAAATTGTATCCGATAACATATGAACCCAATGATCATTAAGATTTTCGTAACTCCATTTAGAGATTGATGGTATATAGACCTAGATTACTGTAACTCAGAAGTTCTTCATTACTGGAATTAAAAAAACTAAGGCGTGGCACCAGTCCACGAACTCGTCGACTGTTCGTTTAAACATGTTGGCAGATGCAGACTACCTTGTTGCGGTCCATGCGGCAAACCCAATCAGCGGTTGGCGACATCGCTCAGAATTGGTCACAGTGACATATATGTACTCATTCTTTATCTTTTTCTAGATCTTGGGTTCCCATAATCCTTTATACATAGTTTTTCATTCCTTTTTTTCGAACCACAATTTAGTGCTTAGTTTTCTCATTGTTACAGCAAGGTTCCAACTCATTTGCTGCTTATTTTATAGATTTTACTTCGCCATGTCAATGTGTTACGGTAACTTCAGATAACCATATAGTTGTTTTTAGCTCTAGGCTGATTATGACTGGTCGACATTTTACTCTACTTTGAGCTTGAGTGGACAGTACTCCATATGGAATGCTTTACGCAGAAATATGTAAAAAAGTTCGTAGATTAAGGGAACTAACTTATTCGGATGACTTATTTAACTACATAGCAGTAAACATTATACAAAAACGTACGCTACTAGTCGTCCTATTTGCTTAAATAGCGCTGATATCAAGCATAAATATAGTATTAATAAATCAGTGATTATTGAATAAAAAATATGCTTGGACGGAAGTTCTATAAGCTTATAATGGAAATAATTGAATACAAACATTGTAACTAGAATTTTTCATGGACAGTCTAAAATCAGAGGTTACTCAATTATTTGCTGTACAAAGGAATTTTGATTAGATACAACTGATATTTGTGGTTATTAGCGAAACACGCCTAGAAGACCAATGTTTTTTCTAGATCCAAAGTTCTACTATTCAGTGTTTTCGTTACGGTCGCCGATGAACAACAAAAGTTGAACCTTAAAGTGAGGATATGATTTCGAGTTATGGTTTATTCTAAAAGACTACATTTAATAGAGAAAAAAGCAGGGTTTGGGATTCTTAACGACTAATCCAAACATTTTTTAATCTTTTAATGTTACCAAAATCCCATAATAATAAGAGAAATTAGCTTTCTTATAATATATTTTAAAAAATCTTAGTTAGATTTCTAAAACTATACTGAACAGATAGAAAAATGGAATAAAATGTCTAACCTTCTATCTCCACTAGCCAAAGAGTTGAATGCATCTCGTGATATCGCATGACCACACGTTAAGCGTACAGGGCCACCTCCAATAGCGCCATCATTCGACTCAGAGATTACTTCTTTGATAACAGGACAGTGGAAGATATTATGGCGGTGTGCGCTGGGATCCAGTTTAACAGCAATCTGTGACAAGCAAACATGGCATGTTAACTGATTTAAAGAGCATGGGTATTTTAGAATATTCCAGATAATGCACAGTATATATTTTCAGATACTAGAATGCAAATATTTTTGTGTTTTTTTTACATAAATAGTGAGGTTTAGGAATCCGACAAAAACACAAAGTATAAGTTAAGATGACACAAAGGTGTAATTTATCGTATAATTAGGGATTGATGGAAAACAAACATTTTGCAGATTTTATTAAATCACGCTTCAGTGGATAGACAGATCAACATTTAGTATTTAGTTTCAACTGTAACTAACTGATAAAACCAGAAAAAAAATTACAAACGTGTTAATACCAAAAGAATAATTCTCATGACTTCATTTATTTATTTGAACAACATAGAAGTTTAGCGCAACAAAGTAGTCGAAATAAACGTGACAACAATAAATGTGAAATTTTTATTGACCTATAACAGGAGAAAAACTCAGATTTCAGTTTTGATTACAAAAAAATCATGTAACTTTTCACTTATTGACGAACTAATGCATGAGACGATGAAAAACTAAAGAACAATCATTTACTACATATCATAACGACTATAACAACCTGAATGCCCTTCATTTGAAGAAGCCTAGTGTGGAAGCATATTATTATTACTAATGGTTTTATCTAATGTTAAATGTCCAGTACAATTTGGGATTCTCAGCACGAAGTATTTTGACAAGTTTATTTCATAAAATAGGAAAGAAGGAAAAATCGATAACTATACACATGAATTCAGTAAATAAACTATGTGATATCAAGTGAAGTGTTTTTAATAAGAATGTGTACAACTATTAATTAGAAACATGCTTAAGAATACAAGTTATTGACTAGGTCAGCACTTACAATCTGTCTGTCGTATAGTATATTTATTAGATAAGGTACCGTAGTTTTTATACCATTGCTGGAAAGCATAGATTTCAATGTACTGACGTTTCGTACTATCAGAAGATATACAAGGAGAAAGATGTGAATGAAGTGGATTGTTAATATCTGATAAAATAACATTTGCCAGGAGTTCGCAAGATTTTAAATCTCTAACCAGTCATATTCATAGTGACCTTAAAAGATTCACCATAACCTGCTAAACGCATTCAGCCGTCTCCTTAATACAACAAAATCTTTTATCAAAAGCTCGAGAGGGAATAAAAAGGGTGAGTAAAAAACAATAGGTAACATACAACACAACAAGATGGACACCGGATTCATAAAAGTAGTTAATCCAGAGGTGGTAATATATAAAAGAAAGATTGCAATAAGGATATAGTACATGAAGAAAGAATTGGTTCGTAGAAAGAAAGATATGAAGCGATTTTAATCTCTTAGTTTAAGGGAAGACAGGGAGTGTATACACCGACGCCATTGTGATCGATCCTGAGCCATGTCACCAAGAGTCTCCAACCATTGGTTACGATAGTCACGCGGACCCCAACCAAGTAGTCTGCATCTACCAACATGGCTCAGACTAGAAGTTAGTGACTTCAAGCACTGATGCCACGTTTTGGTTTGGCCGCCCCCGACTTTCTTCCAACCATTTCCAATACCGGATAGCACTGCACGTCGTGGTAATCGGTGTTCAGGCATACGTAACACGTGGCCCAACCATCTCAGTCGATGAAGATTCATAACCTCATCAACTGATTTACCATCATCTCCTAATACCCTGCGTCTAACCTCACTATTACTTATCCGGTGATCCCAGCAGACGCCATCAATATTTCTGAGGCATCTGTGGTCAAATACTAGTAGCTTACGAGTGTCTTCTACTCTTAAAGGCCATGTTTCGCTGCCGTAAAGTAAGACAGAACGGACTGCCGCGCAGTATACTCGTCCTTTTATTGGTAGACGGATATCTTGCCTTCGCCATAGGTGACGTAAGTTGGCAAAAGCCAAGAGAGCTTTTCGAATCTGTGCTGAGATTTCGTCAGACACCAACCCATTAGGGCTGATCAGACTTCCAAGATAAGTGTTATCGACGCGTTCGACTACTACTACAGTTCGAAAGGTCAACTTTTTGAACCTATTGTGAAATTTTGGTTGATTTTTAAATTTTGATAACATATCGGTTTCAGATGTTTTACCATAATGTTAGGTTTAAAATCATTAGAGAATTAAGTTACATAATCACTATGTGCAAACTCACTGGTAACATGTCACCATCCAATGAACTGTACTTACTGAGGCAAGCGATTGCACGTTGTAACGAATGAAGCCGAGTAAGTACACGACATCCGGAGGAAAATGCAGTGAGTAGTGGATCAGTATCTGATAAATTTAAATGATAACAACATGAAGCCTTAAACAAATTTGCCGCTTCTGTCAAAGCATTGCTACCATCTGCTTTGTGTTTAGTTGTTACAGGTGACACTGAGAGAGAATATTCACCATCCATCATAAAAACATCTTCAGAAGTTTTATTTACTTGGGAGCTTTCAGAAGACATTTTTGTGGGGCTGGTTGGCAAGGCCAAATCAGCATACGGAGTATCCTCAAGACTACGTCCAATAAAAACAAGACTCCCCATAAGATGTTCAAAATCTACAAATAGATAATTCACAAATTGTTTTACGAATTCATTATATATCAAAATTATATTTACGAATGTTTTGGCCTTACAATCATTAACAGAATGAATCACTGAAAAGCAGAGTACTTTAAAAACTATAAGCAAAGATGGATAGTGGCTAGCAGTGGAATCCAGGACGAGCGTTTCGTCCTGTCTGGGACTCGAACTTAGTACCGTTCGCTTCAAACGCCATCGCATTATCCAGAGTGAACATCAACTCTGAGATGCAGGTACATCCAGCTAACGAGTCCCAAACAGGACGAAACGCGCGTCCTGGATTCCACTGCTAGCCACTATCCATCTTTGCTTATAATGCTTGTAAATTAAGGCAATATCGAGGTATACGCACAGTATGCACATATGCCAATAAGAGACTGATCAATTTCAGTCCTAAAACATCAATGGGAAGGTTCAAATAAAACAATACCAAGTGAATTACTTTAAAAACTGTTTGAAATAAGAACTGAAGAAAATATAAACAAGGTTTGACACAACAATCTAAATACTTCAAATATGTTTGTATAAATATAGCGAATATAGAACAAATCCCGTACTTCTATCCAGTTGTCTACGGTTAGTTACACCATTCATAGACTTCTTCAAATATACACGAGAATTGTTGTTACAGCTGATAATGGTGATAATAATGGATCAATTTCTCATAACGTCCGTAGACAATAAACGTTAACAACTAACCAGATAAAACGGGAGCAAAATGTCACCTGTGATCTCCGCACTTTGTTAAACTCATCAATCTAAGCTCATTTTTGTTGTTGAATATTAAAAATCACTAGGTTTGTTCCTTGTAAACACATTTGGAGATGGTGATGCTTCAAAAAATCATCAAATTAAAGTTTGTGAGTTTACGATACAAAATGAAGAATAAGTAGAGAGTTCTACGCAATTATGAATAAGCCACGTTGCTCAACCTACAATACTTGTGATACCTACAAGGTAATTAAAGTAACCCATTGTGTCACAGAATTTAAATAAGAATTCAGAAAGGAAAATTTTCGACGAAATCATTAAGTTGTACGTTTGTATTTATAGTTGTTTGGTAATTCCGACCCATAAATTATTTTCATATTCGCAGTCCTATCTAACCCCCTTGGTTATTACGCAACCCCTTTTGATAGGAAATCTCGAATCACTTTATGATGTAATCTATTTTTTTATGGACCAATATATTTACTAAACAATTATAAATACGAATTTACAGCTTAAGTAATTAACTTCGTCAAAAATTTTCCTCGTTGAATTCACTTTATTTTATGACATCTACAAGATGTTTGCCAACTGACTATTATTATTATTATTATTTTAACAGATAGATATTGGTACAAGAAGGCATTAAATACATATGCGCTACGCAAGTCTCATTCGATATGTGTGAGGGCTGTGATACTGCCCGGGTGCCCAAACCGAAGCAGGTGGTTTTGTTAGGGGGCCACTCCCCGAGACTTCGACCTGAAGGTCTGACCCACAAGGCAGTGGAGCATCGTGAGGAGATGCAGTCTCATGGAAGCCGGTGACCAACAATTGGTTCATACGCCATTTGTTCCCGCAGGATACTGGAGCCCATGTGTACTATTGGTTTGGAATCCGGTTAAAGCGCCGGACATTCGCATTTTGTCCTCTCATTTTCGTAAACAACATCCCCGCCACGAGAAGGCAGTGAGTAGGACTTCCCTGGCAGAGGCTATATACGCGTGGTCATGTGAGAGCATTTGGAGAGGGAGAGCGGACTCTCCTCACTCTCGGCCGTACCAGGGCATTTGGTGGCTGACTAAGGTTAGTATATGGTACTAATGAGCCCATACAGTACGATAGCAATCAGTGTTTCGTTGTCAGATAACGGCATTAAGATCTCAACCTTAATTTGTCTCGGTTTTGTGATTTCCTTCAAGGTACATACAGACACGAAGATCATTAGTTTATATACTTGACATAACTGAACATGATATGATGGGCATTTTCTCAAATGTGGTTATCATAACGTGTCTTAGAGCAGACAGTTGATTATCATCCTTTCAGACTATCTACTCAATTTAACAACTTGGCTTTATCTACAAATCCGAATTGACATTTCTAATGAGACGCTTTATGGATGGAATTCTAGCCGTGAATCATATGTTGCGTAGCCCTAACCACTTCGGTTATGAGACCAAACATATCCCCCATAACTGGAGAGTATAGATAGTATTTAAAGAACAAAAGTAACTAAATTAGTATGTGCAGACTGTTAGAGATGCTTAACTGGTTTTTTAAGTGGGGATTTAGAAATCAGACGGATAATTAATGATTTAATCATTTGAAAGATAATAACTTGAATAAATTTCATCACGTAAATGATAAGTCAATAATGGCTGAAAATCAGTGTAGATTTAACAAATCATGAAGATCCTCGTAGTAGTTCGTCTACTAGACGTTTGATAATTAGTGGCACGCTGTTGCAATACTTCAGGATAATCCCATTTATATTTTTACCGCTGTTTTATGTGAATCTAATACAACTGATATTTTCAAATCAAAATAATGAGTAAACCGTATGAGTATTAAATAAATTGCCAATACTACTGGGTAATAAACTTGACTTTCTACTCTAATGATCAACTTGTTATCAGAAAGAGACAAATGATCAAAACAATAAGATAATCTGATGAAGTATAGGGAGATACATAATGTGATCGACGACAATTCTTTTTTATCTAAATTAATACTTCGATGAAATCAAAAACTCATATGACAATGACAAACTTTCTAAATACCTGAAGAGTAATCAGATGCAAAAGGAACCAGCTGACGAGCACTTTGAATCACAGCAGCTGGATCCACAGGTTCTTTTTGTATTGTAGACAAAAAATCAAGTTTGGCTAGACAATATTCTAACTGCTTTGCCTTATCGCCAAGTTCCTCTCGATTATTTGATAACCATCTGTAAAATAAGATAATCAACTCGTTAATAATTTATGTTGCAAAACTTTTATACGATGCTTATATAAAATGTAAGTATGTATATCATGGATAGAGAGTAAAATAGGTTTACATTCTCGGAATGTGTGTGGCTCGTCAGCATTTATGAAAAATGGATATACAAAGTATTGTTAAATGAAGCAACACTTTGTTGTGCGAACCTACTTATACATTCAACATGTTGGTTAGATGATTTCTGGAACAGTCATGTAGATTGTCCTGTAATTGCATGTCAGGAGTAAAATGTGTCAAACGCCTGCAAAATGCATAAGTTTGGCATTAATTGGCAAAATCTCAACTCGAAAGCAGGGGGAAAATCTAACTAACCTTAACCATAAGAATAGCATCCAAACATTTACTAACCAAAATAAATAGACCAAAAGGTTTAATTCAAAAATTATCGAATCAAATGTTTATTGATAAAATAAAGTGAATACAAGACTTTTGTTTACTGGAATATTAACTTTTGTAGATAGGGGCAAATTATCTAATCTTTTATGATTAAACGAAAAGCAAATAAAAATTGTGATTTTTATTTGTACACCATGGCTTTATTGTGTCACTTTGTTCACTAACAACATAGAGCACAAAACTTGATGCAGCAGATGAATGAGAAAATGAGTTAGAATATTGTTATAGCAATGAGAATAACTAAGCATTAAAAGTGTGGTTCGAAAAACAAGGAATGAAAAAGTATGTGTGGAGGATTATAGGAACTCAATATCTAGAGTACATATGTGTCACTGTGACCAATTCTGAGCGATGTCACCCAATGTCGCCAACCGCTGATTGGGTTTGCCGCATGGACCCCAACATGGTAGTCCATATCGTCCAACAAGTTTAAAATGAACAGTCGACGAGTTCGTGGACTGGTGCCACGCTTTATTTCGGTCACCTCTATATTTTTCTTAACCTACTTCTGCACCAGCTAACATCTCCCGTCGAGGTAGGCCGTGGTTAGGCATACGTAATCTATGTCCAAACCAGCCTAGTCGATGAATATTTGATACTTAATCAACCGATTATGTATCCTTACTAAGTAACATGTGCTTAACTTCAACATTTATCACTTGGTGGTCCCAGCATATACGATCGATGCTCAGAAGGATTCCATGATTAAATACTAGTAACCTACATATATGCTTTAAGCTCAGACTCAGCCAACAGTTTCAAGGTAAGCAACCTTCAAAGGACCAGTTTACGTTCAGTTGTCACAATCTGGTTAGTATTTCAGTCAATTTAAGTACGACTCTAAAACATCATTCAAAAAGACCTCTGGATTCAAATGACCAAATCTTGCTACCCTTCCCCGCTTTATCTTTGATATGTCTTTTCCCATTTCACCAAGAATCAGGGGAATTTTCATGATTTCCAATTCAGGTTGTTTGATAATAATACGTAATCGGAAGATTGCTACAACACAGCTGAATCATCCTTTAAACCGTCCTACCCATCGTTCCAATCTTCAGGATTAAGAATGAATAACTGTTCCGTGTGCTTCTGAGATATTCTCACTAACACCCCACTCCTACATACTTGTCTTCTCTAAGAGTCGTAACAGTTGTCTAGTGTTACCCACAGTCAGTTTTTCCCACATATTTTGCTACTGTTGATCACCATCGCTCACAATCATTGTTCGAACTTCCTATTAGTCTGTATTTCAATTGTCATCCTCATCGTTCTGCCAGTTTGTCAAGATGAGTTTTGTAACAGCTATCAATTCAGTAGATGGCATCGAAGTCCACTGGTGCTTCTTAACCTTTTCATTTAAGTCAGTGACCAATATCACTGATGCATTTGCAGCAGTTTGGATATCATATCAAACTTCACTTTGTCAGAATGTTCTTCTCCATGATTGACTGAGTGCTGAATTGATTCTCCCCTAAATGGACTCTTGACCTTCCCACTTTGAATTAAGACTTAACCGGTCTGCCTGTTGCAGCTCTTCTGTGTCCAGTAAGACGTGGGCAAACGCGTACTCCTATTGGTACAGCATGTGCTACTTAACAAGGTGTGGTAATCTGTTACCAAGTATCTCAAGCAGTGAGTGATGGAAGTATGCTTTGTTTATGTCCACCGCCGGCAGACTAAACAATACCTCTTTTTCTGTTTGACGTTTATGTTTGCTAGGAATAAGCGGTTATGTGAAGGTAATTTCAGGAGACAACCACTGTTACCTGCTTGTTAATCTAGAAAACAAAAATAGCCACATATTTTTTTTAATTTGTTTTCAAATTCAGTGTTATATCAACACCGACAAGGTCACGAGAAATTCCGGTTGACTTTTCAGATACACGAAGAGCAAATAGCTTTGACTTATCATGGTGTAGTGAACAAGAACACGGGTGGGGACAACCGATTGCATTGAGCACAAAAATTACAGACTATCTCAATAAAATGTGAATACCATAAAGTCAATCGTCAATTTGCAAAATATCATTCAATCATATCAAACTGTACTGTTCCCGTTGCAAACACTAATCCATTGTCTCCCATTCCATTGTACATGCGTTTTCTTACAATTGCATTGTGTTCTTGCTCTTCCTTTCTTGATCTTCGCCATCTTCTGCTGCCGGACATTACGTTCTTTTAACGCACGTTATATACTACTTATATCAACATAAGTAGCTCACACCACACTCGTCCCCCCCTTAAAGCAGTCGTTCTTGTGGTAGTTCATGCTCGCCGTGCAACATTCTCCGTCTCTGCAGTCTGTGCCACGCTCTCCGTCGAAACTGCGGCGCGCTGACTTCCACAGCTCTGTCGACCTGCCGGGGCAACAACAACCAACATCCACCCGGCACCTGGGACGCTTGACATCCGCACTCCACCGGCCTGCTGAGCCATCTACATCCGATGTCCGCCCAGCAGCCGCGCGTCCCAACGCTCCACTTCGTCGACAGCACCCGCTACAGCCAACGCAGCCCCGCCGGACACTTCACCAGACGCCACCTCTCCGCACCAGACTGCCCCAACTGGCACCTCAACCCCAAGCCCGCAACGGCGTCCGCAGAACAGCACACTCCTCCTCTCCTGGTTGGCAGCGACACCAAATGTAGTGAACAAGAACACGGGTGGGGACAACCGATTGTATTGAGCACAAAAATTACAGACTATCTCAATAAAATGTGAATACCATAAAGTCAATCGTCAATTTGCAAAATATCATTCAATCATATCAAACTGTACTGTTCCCGTTGCAAACACTAATCCATTGTCTCCCATTCCATTGTACATGCGTTTTCTTACAATTGCATTGTGTTCTTGCTCTTCCTTTCTTGATCTTCGCCATCTTCTGCTGCCGGACATTACGTTCTTTAACGCACGTTATATACTACTTATATCAACATAAGTAGCTCATACCACAATGGTAGTTAGGCGACGTGAGGTTTGTGCCTTGGATTTAATTGTTAGACGATTAACAAGGTCAAAATTAATATAATTATTGGCTATCACCACGAAAGATGATGAAACTGTACTGTTATCGTTGGCCAGTAATCTTTATTGATGAGGCAAAGTTGTCTCAGTATTGAGGTGAACAAAAAACACATTTATGATATACTGATATATCTTTTAATATAAGTTGATAGACAACTCATGAGAACTAAAGCTGACAATATTCTTTACGATCTTCAATTTTGAAAGCATGTCAATTAATTTTTAAACAGTGAAGTGTATTTTCACCATATTCTTTGTTTAAAAAGCATTAATGTAGCGAAGTAAAACATATGACTGGAAAGTTATATGCTACCAAATGGGTCTTTGAAATGCTGAGTACCACTGTTTTGGTTTTGCAAAAGAGTCTGATACTTTGTTCAGACTTAACTTATAGTAGGGTTGTGTTCGAAAATCCAAATGGAATGAAAAGCAGATATAAACTGGAGATAAAGTAAATGATTACTTATATGAAAATGATCACGCAAACTATTATTACTTTCTCGCTGGATCTAGCTCTCCTCGTTGTGTAGATGAAACCAGATCACTTAGCTCCTTAAACTTTTCTAATCCTATATCTTCCTGAGTAAAACTGAAATTCTGTAACATTCGAAATAAGTTAAAATGAAAATAATAGTTTGTTAAATAAAGGACAAAAAAGAAAAACGAAGTAATAAATTTGTTTATTTACAAACAGTAATTTGGTAATGTAAAATTCGTAACAGTGAATCAGCTGTGGCAACACCTTGCAACATCATAAGATAAAAATTACCTGGACTTAAAAGGTTCTTAAATAAACAAACATATAAGGACAATCAAGAGAAAATCCATATCCATACATTACTTTGATGTATCCTTATTTACGGATAGATCTTTTGCCTTTTACTAAAGGTTCCCACGGAGAGGCACAATACAATGAATACAATCAGGGGAAAATCCATATGAAAATACTGACTACATTGAGCCATGCGACTGATTCTAAGGTATTTCATCTGAAGTCATAGACTACTGATTCTTAACAATCCGATGACAAAATAAATCAATATTAATTGCCTAAAATAAATAAGACTAATCTGTAAGTGCTACATTTTGATTTATCAATATCTAAGGGTATTTCGAATACTCCCCTCCAAACAGATATTTCGACTGAGAGTAAGTAAAGATCTATGATACACATTACATGTTCCAGTTATCGCAACTACGAATGTTTATAAACTCCCCATGTCAATTAATTTAACTACGACTGAACTCCTATAGGGTTACTGCTGGTCTCAAGCCTGGGTAGAAAGGGAGAATTGGGTTAGGGTTGAAAATAGCACCTCATAAAAAAACCTCGTTATAATAACGCTAACCAGGGAAAGCCAATTTAACCTACCAAACTCTGGTCTACGAGTCGAAAGGTCTTCATATACAAAAATCATGATGTATCATGTTAAAACAGGGATTCTTCGGAATCCACAAGGTTGTAACCTCTTCTTGTAACCAGGACAATGATAAACATAGGGAATAGAATTCCTAAACGACACGGAAGACTGGGAGGTCCTTCAAATAGCCAGAAAAATGGGAAGAGACAACATAGCTCTACTTGGGATAAATAAAACGCATTGGAAACAAGCTGAGCATAACGCAATAACTTTAGGAGAGCTGTTGTTGTATTCTGGTCGTGAAGGAGAAAACAGTCCACATACAAGGAGTTATATTGATGATAACCAAAGGAGCAACAAAAGCACTTATAGGATGAAATATGCACGTCTCAAGGGTCATCAAAGCACCCTCCGAAACAAAGAAGGAAAGGGCTAAAATGAATGTCACCTAGGGCTATGGATATACTAATAATGATAACGAAGGTGATGGGGACTAGTTTTATAAGTCTATGTTTGAGTTGCCTACGATCCTTAGTGTTCTGGGCCATTTGGGGTGAGTTTACAAGGATCTATCAACTCAATATTTATGATATCTTCACACTCAACCAAACGTTAAAACGCTGACAGATTTATTGGGGATTAACCATTGTTGTTTCTTGATATGAGGGCCGCCTTCGATTTGTTGGAAAGGATTGTTCTCTAAGAGTGTCTGTCGAAGAAGGGTGTTAATCAACATCTTGAAAGCTGTGTAAACAAACATCTTAGGTAGAGTGAGGGCATACAACTATTACTTTCCTTTTGCTATTTTGGTCGTGGAGTTAGCCAGGATTTCCCGATCTCATAAGTCCTTCTCAACTTTGCCATAGATGACACTGGAAACAGCCCAGGTGGAAATACGTAGTGGTGGTGTGGATCTGTTGTCTGGAGAAAATCTCTCAGGTCTCGAATATGCGTATGGTATTTTCTTACTATGCAATGATAGTGAGGTCATGCGATTTGCACTTAATCAGTTGATAATTAATATCCATGGGTATGGGATGCACTTTGCATCCCCTAAATACAAAGTACTTTTAAACGACGACAGGAGTCTATGTCTACACTTGCTCTTGGTGGTGACAAGTTGTGTTTGACTATCACTGTCTCGAAAGACTGCTGATATCCACTGAAAACTGTTAACAAAACCGAGGTTTTACAACGTATGTTCGGAAGCAATGACGGAAACTTAATCAGTATTACCATCTTGAAGCACAAGCTCTGGTAGCTTGGGAGTGTCATGGGGATCATCCAAGTGACTCCTTAACCGTAAATGATTCGCCGACGCTGGGATAGTGGAAGAAAGCTATCAATTTATCACATGGCGTCATGGTACGAACTAAATCTGTCAGTTCATCAGAACTCCCTCGTCGGGGTTGCAGTTTTAGACGTTACCAAGCAGATCAGAGAAGCTGATGATGACCCTGACGTAGTTTTCTTACATCTTTCTTAGAAAAGGAACCCTTTATATGAAAGAATTTTTTCGGTCGCATTTTAACTGAAAAGACTTCCCCATTCATTTGTTTTTATTCATTCGTCTGCTTTGACTGCACTCTTTTCTTCATTTCCTTAGAATTTCATTTTCTTACCTGTGTGGTGCTTTTTTCGTTTTGGTGCCTAGTTGTGCAAGTGTTTTAAATAAATAATTACATAAATGACTAATATATCGGTAAGTTATGTCGCTAAAACTTACATGCATTAGGTCAACGGCCAGAGATTCGTGGCCTTCACGAAGTAAGTGTTCGATGATAACTAACCGTAAGAGATCATCTGGAGATTTGGATGACAGAGAATCTTTGTATAGCGATGATGTTTTTAATACAGGTTTTATTATAGATTTGGTGGTTTTAGATTCTTTCTTCTCATGATTTGTAAAATAGGTAGTAAGATGAGAAAGTTCGTCAACAAAACTCTGGAAAAATGTAATATCCGAAAAGACGTTTACCTTGTCCACAAGTTTTCCGAATTTCGAAATGGGAAGGTGAATATCACGGTGAGCTTTTATGTAATCTGACAATTTCGACTTTACAGTTGATACAAATAAACTGGTGTGTTGCTTGATATCCGTATCACTATCAGCTACATTTAATATGTAAAGATAGATAAGTTACTTACATAGTTTAAATGTATCCTTATAGAATGAAACACACGTATAGCCCCTAAGTTATGACATATAATCCGGAAAGACATTACTGCACACGATCTCAATTGCTACCTTGACGTGGTGGTTGAGCTTGCCTATTGTGATGACTCGACCGAGTTATAATGCCTGGAACATGTTTATTTAGGTCCTATTATACCAGGTAGGTAGGTCGAAGGACCATGAAACTAAAATCAGCAACTAAAAGTTTGAGGGCGAAGTCGTGATGCTGACTGCAGAGGAATATGGTAACAGCAAGATTTTCCCCTCGAGCAACCAGCATCCGCAGCAATTCTGCCTTTTCACAACGAGAGTTAAGAAATATTGACCTTAAAATGCCACACCTCATTTTAACCCATGGACTTGTCACAGGTAGTAAGACCTTTTGAAGTGAGGAGCTAACACATTAAACACCGTAAAAAGAACACGCGTGACCGGCCTCAAGCAGTTATTCACTGGGCTTTGTGGTCACGCTTCCATGTTGCTAACACCATCACTAATTCAGCTCCTTTGCGGAAGTTCACAAGGAATCCTTCCACGGTGTGAGTAACTCGGAAGTGGCGACCGCCCTCATACCTCTACCAGCCTGTGAGATCACCTTGTTGACGATCAAATCCCTTGTTTACCTACTAATTATTCTCCCATTCCCACGACTTACCCTCCTCATATATTTTTTGTTGCTGTGAGCCACCGGTGCCAATGATTTGATTTCACGAAGTATTATAGCTGGTCTCCTGAAACCATGCTCTAAACTACGCGTTGGAGCTTTTAAAGTTCGAACCTTGTGTCAGATAGGACAAAAGGCTTCTCTACTATGATTCTAAAGTCTCACACCATTGATGTATACTGCATCTCCGAAAAGCGCATACAGAGTTCATGCACAGTCACTCACTTGACCTCAACGTGTAAGTATAAAGAACCGGAGCGATTTACCCTTATTATACCAGAAGATCCCACTGTTACTTCTTGTAACCTTGAAGGTATCGATAAGGGATCAATTTTGAAAGCACAATGGGCCCTGTTAGACAAGATTCCAATAGACAGTCATTTATATGTTGCTCGACTAAACAGAACAATGAGAACTGGAAGAGATCGGGACATATGTCGTTGCCCTTTAGTTGTTTTGCCTCCCCTCTCCCAATGATTGTAACTTGGATGAAATTAAAAGTGAATTTCGTAAGAAGCCTTCCAACATCTTTCAAAAAGCTAGTCGTCCTAGTGTAATAATAGTAGTGGGAGGTTATTTTTATGCTTAGGCAGGTTGACTTAAACAAAGTGAAAGGCACTTGAAGGATCTTACGTGTTGCGGCTCAGCGAACAGACAATGGCGGGCCTTTTACAACTATGTTCAGATAACTATTTCTGGCAAACACCAACTTTAAACACAGAAAGCGACATTGTCTGACGTGGCAGACTCGACAATGTCGCTACGTTTGCTATTTCTAGTCGTTTAGATCGGTGAGGTATGCTTGTGGATTGACTTGCTGATGGACACCTCTCACGATCTGCAGAGGAGGATATGACTGCCAATGTAATAATTATTCAACGAACTTTAATTTTATACTGAATAAAATTCATTGGAAATTGAGGATTGTAAACCAAAAACAGTATATTGCCTGCCATACTTATCATTTTATCTATTTGAACACATAAATATTGATACAAAAAGGCACCGAGTACATATGCGCCACACAAGTCACTTGATTTGTGTAAAGGCTATGATACTACCCGGTTGCCCATGCCAAAGCAGGTGGTTTTTATAGGAGGCCACACCCGGAGCCTTTGACCTTAAGGTCTAATCCACAGAGCAGTGGAGCAACGCAAGAGATGCAGTCCTATGGTAGCCGGTGTCCAACGATTGGTTTAAATGCCATTTGTTCCTTTAGGATACTGGAGCCTATGTGTACCATTGGTTTAGAATCAGGGTTTTCCAACTCCCCTATGTGGACCCTCCGTGTCCACCAAATTGGTCAAAGCTCCGGACATTCGCTTTCCGTCCATTCAATTTCTTAAACAAGAATAATGCGGCGAGAAGGCAGTGTGTACGACTTCCCTGCAAGAGGTTGTACACGTGTGGCCATGTGAGAGCAGACTCCACCTTCGACCGAAACACGGCAATTGGAGGCTGGGAAATTGCATGACAATTTAATAAACAAGCGACAAACTGACGAAGGAAATTCTCCATTATTTTCACAATGATACTTCATTTATGTAGACCTTACTTTCAACTAATACTCTTTATTTTATCAATTTTCTTAATTTCGAGGAATAAGGTTCTGATCACGCAAACTAGGCTAGCAAACTGAGTGAAAACACAAACAAAAAAGACAAAAAGGGCACTGGATTTTCAGGCAGACAAAAATTCGATTTATTATATCTTGTAAACATTGTAGTATATGACTTGCCATTTTGAAGTACAGACTGAAGGGATTCTAGTTGTAATTCTAGTAAACTAAACGTTCTCTTTCTGCATTCGTCAAAGTTTGATAATTTTTCTTCTATCTTTGACAGTTCACCATCAATGCTTTCCAATTTTGAGGAGCAATTGTCAACTTTACTACACATCGAGAAGCGCCAAGTTCATGCAATCCGCCTTCCAACATCCAAACTTTGTAGTTTACTCCAAATGGCTGTCGATGAAACGATGGCTTTTGTGTAACTACCTTAAGGTTTTATTGGTAAAGATCCACTGATTTCTCCAGGTTAGAGCCATCTTATGTGGAAATAAGCAGAAGTAAAAGAGTTTTCGCAAGATATTATCAAACTTCCGAGCTTTGCTGGATTGAAACGGCAGGTGGCCGATCTCTCGTGATCTGTTACTGGATTGCAAGAAAAATTCTTTTACTATAGAGGGGTGCGATACTCGCGTAATTGGGATTTAAGGAGTCGTTTGGCGCTACAGGATAAAATAATGTTGAATGATTAAGATGTTCACCCTCAACTTGATGTGGATGCTCATTGGGACTTCCTACTGCACACGCTCTTATGTGCTACAAAGCAATCAGTTCCTCAAACGGCCCTCAAAAGCTACAAGTAACCCAAGAATCATCAAGAACCGCACTCTTAGCCTGCTAAGCCGCAAAAGGCACTGTTGGACAGAATACAAACGAACTGACAACAACAGCGCGTATATGCAATACAAACGTGTAAGGAACATATGCACGATGGCTATAAGAGAAGACGGACTTCAGTACCAGATAAAGCTTATGGATAAATTTATCTACAACCCGAAAGGCTTATTCTGTTGTGCAGCCTCTCTTCGTTAAGCCAAAACTGGAGTTTCCAAACTGCTAGGTCCCAATGGCCCGACCAACGACGACGGCGGCAACGCTAACCTTTTGGCTGAGCAATACTCTCGGACATTACAACCGACCCATATCAAATATACTGATGACGGCTTCATCTGCAACTGCACAGGACTTTCCGTAGTGAACCTGAGCGCTGACTTGGTGTTCCGGAAACTGCAGCACCTAATAAAAGACACTTCTCCTGGCCCAGAAATGGTTCATTTTGCTATACTGAGGGAAGCAGCCTCAATCCTGGCAACACCACTTAGCGTGATATTCTCACACTCGCTAAGCCGAGAAAAACTACCGGAAATTTGGTAGCTGGCTCACATCACACCAATTTTCAAAGGAGGTCGACGCAGTGAACCTTCAAGTCATCGACCGGTAGCTCTTTTCTCTATACCATAAAAATCATGTAGTCCCTGATATGCGATGGTATACATGACTGTTTACTGTCCTTAAATCTCTTCTCATTCCAACAGCATGCTTTCAGGAAGGGTTACTCTTGTACAACCAACCTGCTGACTGCAGTGGACAGATGGACAAGCATCCTTGATCGCAAGGGGAAGATTGATATCACCTACCTTGATTTCTCTAAAGCATTCGATAGGGTAAACCATATATGACTTATCAATAAGCTCTAACGATTGGGTATCAGACCACTTCTAATTGATTGGCTCATTTCATACCTGAAAAATCGGCATTTTAAGGTCAGGGTTGACTTCTCTTTCTCTCAGGCTGTGGAACGTCCTAGTAGGGTCCCCCAGAGCTCAATACTAGGACCTCTTCTCTTCTTGATTTATATAAATGATCTTCCATAACAAGTATCGTCAGACTTATTCTTTTTTGCTGATGATGTGAAACTTTGGAGGGAGATACGCAACCAAGACGACATACAGGCACTTCAGGCGAATCTGACTCAACTTCATAGTTGGGCGGACGATAACGGACTTACCTTTAACACTTCAAAGTGTAGAGTAGTCCATCTGCAACATGTCGCAGACCACAGTAACAACTTAGGAAACTCTTCTCTAGTAGTATATCAAGTCGAAAAAGATTTGGGAGTCCTGGTGCTCTACTATTTAAAGTCCTAAGCTAACTGTGACAAAAATGACTATCGAGCAAACCTTGCTCTGGTAAAACTGAAGCGCATTTTGGACCAATGTGACGGAAGAACTTTCCATGTAATAATAAACAGTTTTATTCGTCCACATTCAGAGTACGGAAGCACAGTATTTCATCCCTCACTCCAAAAAGGTAAGGACACACTGGAGGGTATCCAACGGTGAGCCACGAAATTAGTCCAATGACTCAAATTCAAAACATATGAACAGCGCCTCCAATCAACTAACCTTTACACATTAGAGTATAAGCGTCTTAGAGGTGACCTCCTGATGGCATACAGTATCCATAACACTTCTAGACATCCCCTTAAACACCTACTTAGGCTTTGTCCCATTAACAAACTAACAGGTAACAACAAGAAATTTGAGATAAAAAATAGCAGAACGGACTGTACACAAAACTTACACTCCATAAGAGATGTCAAACGCTAGAATTCACAGGAAAATTGAAACAAATCAATCAGTAATTATTGTTAATATTTATTAGAACAATTCATCTCTGTCCACCACAAAGTGCCGAACAGAGGAGTTGGGAAGCCGAAATATATATGGCACGTTTTTAGACAATTATCACATTCATTAGTCGTGATTGTGGTAGAAAATTTGATGCCCCAAAACATTATTCAAAATCCCCCAAACACCAGCCTAAAAACATGAATGGGTTGCATCATACTCATCACGTACTAAATGGGAGACTATCAGATGGCGTGCACCTGCCCTGACAGAAATATATTACCATGTCCGATTATTACGGTGTAATTTTACAAAAGCAAGGACCAGAAACAAGTAGGAAAATGCCTTAAGGGATGCACTTTAATCCTCGAATTTTCCAGTCTCAATAAAGCTTATGGTGTCCGAAGCGTTCCTCAGCGTAATCGTTAAGTAGATATTTGAAACCATCGTCATTCATCTAAGCTACAAACGAATGAGAAACTTCATTGTCAAAGACCCTGAGTCCACAGTTGACTCATCACATTTCTGTTACAGTTGCTATCATGTGTTACATATCAACTGGAGTAATTGTTATCAGTTGACTGCTCTCAGAGACATTCCGGTTTATTCTTCTCGTTTCGTTTCCAACAACACTTAAAGTCGAACTCAGCTATCAGACAGCCTTATTCATGACCAATAAAGATAAGCAAAACAAGGATCAGTAATTGCTGTTTGTGACAAATGAACATATCCTACCAGCCACTACGGTTCGACTAAATCAGCAATACTCTCTTGAGTGGAGGAAGTTTAGTCAAATAGCTGTGTTCTGGCGTTCTCGACTGAATTTTCATAGAAACCCTCTCGATATCTGGCACACTGACTCGGTGGAAGGTTAATGCAATTCATATTATATCGAGTATTGGTGGTAGGATATCTGATATACAAACAGGGTCGGTTAATTTGTGACTTAATAGTAAAAGCAGTCCGACAAAATGAATATCCATCAATCTAAGGAAGAATAGATCTATCTTGCACCTTTTGATAGCTGCACTATAAACTGGTAGTAAGAGCTCTGAACAAGTCCACTCTACTGATGCGTCGTATTGTACACAGTAGGCCGAGCTAGGTTTTGAGACTTTACAGGAGGTTCATATGCTATCAAAACACTTATAACACCTGAACTTTATTGCAGTTGATCAATGTGGATTCCGATACTCGGTGGCTTTATTCTACCGAAAGATAAAAGGATGGAAATTTTTAAGGAAAAACGATCAACAGAAATAAGTGGAAATGCTTATATTTAAATCTCACAATACAATCCTCGCAGCTTGTAGCGGAAAAAACGCTAAAAATCCCCCAACATTTCACTGAACACAATCGTCATTTAGCTGGTTTTCACTCCTATATCCGGGTGTCTTCTAAACTACACATTTTGTTCTTCGGTCTTTCTTGTAGGTGCTTTTGTTATTTGACGTTGGTTAAAGATTTTCCTTTTATTGTTTAACTAAATGTTATATGTTACCAGACCATTGAAAATAAGGTCAGATTTGACTAAAATCGAGGTCACAGCGTGTATGGCTGTTAACCTCTGACTCTCTACTTTAAATTGGTTGTTGAAACGCTTACAGATAGATGTCTAGTCTCATCTTCATGGGACTATTTTTGTTGGTTCTCTGGTGCTTAACTGTTGCCTACTAACCATTTTCTGCTGTTAGCACGTTAGTTTGCGCGAGAGAATCCCTTGACATTATGGCACCGGCTGTACCGTTTGATGTATTTAGTACTTCTGATATGATTTAGCCTGATTTTCGAATAAGAACCGTGTTTTGACATAATTTATTACGAGACAATCAAAAATGCTTCGTACGCTAAACAGAAGAACGTAGTCTGTCCCAATCGGATAAACTTTGGTTCGGTAATTCTGTGTTGAAACAGAATCTTGGTATTTCGATAGTCAGAAAACCTTTCAAACTATATGATGAGGACTTTTCATAAGGCATGTCAAGCAACTATACTTGAATATCTGACACAGATCGCTCGGTGATCCTTTTGAGTTTAAGAGTCCAACAGATTCAGTTTCAGAATGGATTATCATGGCATTCGTTCTGCTTAATATTTCTCACCGTGTAATGACTTTACAAATGGACTGAAAATATTCGGCGGGTTAAGAACGGTTTTATTAAATATTAAACATTTCTCAATGTTTTGTATGCATTTGTTTCACTCAACTTTTGAATTTGTTTGTTTATGTCGCTGTAAGGATGAGAGATGCTTGGACTGTTTTCGTATCCATCCTCTTTTCTAGGGCTGGATAGTATGAAACGTAATAGTTTGAAATATGTCAAAGATAACTGAAAAAATCATCAATCCAGAAATCGGTTTTAGAAGTAGATCCACTGGCTTTCTAAACTATAAATCTCCAGCAGGTAATATTGAAGTGGAGTTCTGTTAGACCATAATATCTTGCCTTCTGTTTTCTACCCGATCAGTTTGACCATTTGAAATATTACGACTAACTTACACAAACTAGTGTGAATTCCTTTGTAGATTTTGACCATAATCCACATGATGAGCCTACCTATAATTCTAAAATAATCGCCACAATTTCACCATTCGGGTAAGCTTAAAGGCATAAAAGCTTTACTTGCTTGATATTAAGTTGAATCTTGTAATCACAACTAAATACATATATTGTCCGCCTCGGTTAACTTCACATTTATTC